CATTGCTCACTTATGGGTGTTGATCCCAGATCCACCCATTCTTGCCTCCTCCTTCCCTCTTGGCTTCAGCTATGCAAGAAGTTCAGAGTGAATGCTTCACAATAACAGACTGCAAATGTCAGATATTGACTACAAAGTTGGATTATCTCTACAACAGGAGCACTTTACAGTGTAGAGCTACAACTTCCATTTTTTGACTATTTTTGGTAACTGGTCATGTGACCATCATCCCATTACATGGGCCCTAATAGATAAAATTATTCTTCACTTAGTTTTCTCCAGTTTTTGGTCAAAGTGGATGATATTTTCTTTTTGGTATGGACTCTGAAGGTAGTGCCTGACATTCTATATACCATTCAAACTTTTTTTCAGTTTTTCCACTATTTTCCAGCAATTTTTGGATCTATTACCATATTTGGAATTGTACCCTTGACCCTGACAATGTTACCAAACATTATCACAGCAATGGCCATCCATCATTTTCTTCTGATTTTTTGCCTATTTTCTGGCTATTTTTTGTTATGTTACCATATTTGGAAATAGACTCTGGACCCTGACAATGTTACCCAATGTTATCACTAGCAATAAGCACCATTCCCCATTTTTTTCCTATTCTTGACCATATTACTTTATTTGGAACTAGAATCTGGACCCTGACAATGTTACTCAATGTTATCGCTAGCAATAAGCATCATCCTCCATTTTTTTCTGATTTTCTAGCTATTTTCTGGCTACTTTTGGATATATTGCCATATTCAGAACTGGACCCTTGACCCTGACAACATTAACCAATGTTATCACTGCGATGGACACCATCCCCCATTTTTTCTGATTTTCTAGCCATTTTCTGGCTCTTTTTAGGTCTATATTACTCAATTTGGAACAAGACTCTGGACCCTGACAAGATTACTTGTGTAAGAGGCCGTTGCAAGCACGGCAGATACGAGTCCTCTTTTTTTGCAACTGTAGTAGCATTTATAGTGTAGCTATATGTTTAAGCCCACATGTTATCATATATTAACAATTATATATTTATAAACTATATATATATATAGTAATATATATTTATTTTTTAGAGTAAAGTACTACAACTGCATGCCGCTCAACTGACTCACCAGATGAATTTTTCTCTACACTGGTCTTCAAAGAATCTTCTGTAAAATCAGTAAGATGCCCCTTCTTTATGCAACGTCTCTTAGTCACCATACCATCATGATACCACACCTCTTTTCCAGGGGTAATTATATAAGATGTAAAGTGAAATCCACCAGAATAAATTATGCCCCTCAGTGGAAGGACTGTGAACTTACCATTGGAGCCTTTAATACGAATAGTCTTGCTGATTGAGACTCTACTTGTATTCAAACTGAATACAAGAAGTGAAGGGGGTTGATCATACATTCGGGAAGTTGCCATTGGAGAACCACAATCACATATGCTTGGTTCCATGAGCCATTGTTGCAACCATTCATTAATTGACTTGTAAGTTCCATCAAGTATTGACATGACTCTCTCAGGTGGATTATCAAGATCTTGAAAAAAATCACATGTATTACATGATACTCTGCGGTAGCCCAAGCGAATGTTGTGATGTGACGTAAAAATGTATGAG